GCTGACTCTGTATCCGAGGCGGACGAAAGCTTACCGTGTTTTCACCGGAATCGAAGGAGATTGCCTCGGATACAGAGTCAGCATAAATGTTCCAGTAAAGCCAATCGACAACTGGTCAAGAGAAACCCGCCGTCGTCTTCTAGTGGAGCCGAGCTTTAAATCTCTTCACCCAACACTTTCACTGGAAATGGAAGTAAGCCAGAATAGCCTATGTTTAGGATCATCTTTTAATGTAAAAATTCAAATACATCAATAAAATGATAAATTAATAGATCATATCTACCTTAGCTGGATTGCTGATAACCAATAAACTAGATCGTTGAGGAGAACAAGTCCAGAGGCGGGTTGATCAACAGCTTGATCTAGGCCTAGGAGAAAGCCGTAACCTAGCATTGTCCCAGAGTCCAAAGGTAGGCTACATGTTTGCTGTTGATTTTTGTTCTCTTCAGAGATTGAGTCCTCTTGATTTTTAAGGTAATTTAACCAACCATTTCTGAGCATATTGGCCGCCAGCCCTGGCTGACGTAAGAGATTTGCGAGAAACAGAGGCAACAGTCGGTCTGAGTGATAAAATATAACCGCGAGCCAATCAGAGCAGGGCGAGGAGGGACTTGAACGGCCAGAAAGTGAATTTCTGGCTAAATCACTGGGTAATGAAGATGAAAAACGTGCCGGTAGATTACCAATAAGTGGTAAATTCAAAAAGACACCATTAGGCGGCAAAAGCTTCCCTGAGGACATCTGGCTATAGGCATTGGCGTAGGCATAGAGCTCAAGAAGACTAGCAAAGAGGATGCCAAATTCCGAAGGCTCGCCGTCTAAAAATAATAACAAAGGGGAAAATGAACAAATATAAGTAGATCGGTATGTTGTTAAAATTGAGAGAATGTAGTGAAAATAAGTTGAATGATAACAAATCGGTAAATTTAGCTAAGATCAACGGTAGCCGGGGGTTGGTATCGTGATCCAAGGCAGGATAGTTGAGCTACTCAAGAGAAAGTGAGAGAACTTTTATTTAGCACTTAATTCAATTTAGCTTTGCTTGCCAAAAGGTTTTTTTAAATTCAGGCTGATGAGACCAAGGCTAGGTCAAAAATGCAATCCACCGTAAAGAGCAAAGCTCTTTAAGAGGTAAGATAAAGCTTGCTATTTATTTTATCAGGGTCAAGTCAACTAACGGGTCATAGATCATCTTAGTGAAGCATAATGGCAATAGTACTTGGATAAGAGTAGGATTCGATGAGATTTACTCACAGGACTTGATATGATAGAAATAGGTCATTTTCTTGCTTAAAGCCTCAAGGAAAGTACAAATCCAGATTTAAAAAACAGGTGAAACTAAGTAATCAAATACTGAGAAAATTTTCCGAGTGAAAGTACTCATAATAACTAGGCTTACGAGACTATCAGTGAATAAGAACTATGGCTACCCGAGGTCGCATAAAGTGATAAAGGAATGGTGGTGAATTTTTGCAATGATATGAGTAGGTCTCACAATACTAGGGCTAGTAAAAGGAATACGGGTAAAGGAATAAAAAGGTTATAAAATCAAATACAGATGACGAGAGAAGACAGCAAAGCATGACGCCATAAGAAACATGTATGAGATAATTATTGTATTATATATACTATTTAGGGATACAAAGTAACTCATAAGATTGACTTCAGATATAATCAGTGAAATTATTTCATAAGTAAAAAAAGATAAAAAAATTTTAAAGATAAAATACGGAGTATATAAATTCCAAAACCAAAAATTGTTAGTGGCTGATAAAAACACGTATGCATACGAAGGGAATTTGATCTCATTAAATGATACAATTGGTAAGTCCCAAATTAGCCTGGCTTAGAAGTTATATAAATTCTCATAGGAGTATAAGAAAATATTCTTTGTATTTCCGATATGGTAGAATGGCAGCAGAAAACATTCTAAGATATCATATAAGGAAATGTCATTATTGAATCGCATCATATCACATCAAGCATCCCACCTTATATACCACAGTAAATTATCTTGGATTGCCTGTTGAACCACGAAATCAAGTGTTTGGGATAACCGGGTGACTCGGAGAAAAAGAATAAAATTTTATTTTAAAATTATAGTTCAGAATTCCTTATCGTCATTTCCAACAATTTAAGGGAAAGTTGATCTACTTAATAATTTATTAAACTTTGCTTGTTCCTAGTTTATGTTAATC